CACACACACACACACACACACACACACACACACACACACACACACACACACACACACACCTCTTTGTCTGTAGACAGTCTTTGGCTCACACATCACACCCCTAGGCGTTACCATGGTGATGGGATGAAAGGGGGGGTCTTTGATGGGAGTCTCTGAAGGTTTCAGTCTGTGAATCCAAATGAAGCTGTGTGTTTGTCAGTGGATGTCTATCTGTGTGAGGACCAGTGTGAGTTTTAGACCTGGTGAGGAGGGTCTGGTTTTCACTGCTGGACAGACCTTCAGCGGACTCAGGTGTGAAGGGTCAGACCTGGTTTTAGGGTTCATGCTCTGGTTTAGGGGAAGCTCTTAGGAAATAAAGGTCCTCACAAAGAAATTAGAACAAATGGATGCAAGAAGATTGTGATACGGGCTCTTAAATGAACATTTCACAGTAAAGACATCAAAGATCCTACATCATCCACATGTCCTCTGTCTAGTGTTTCCTAAGAAATCTCAATATAAATTCTGCAGATGTGTAGAATATTTTAATCGGTTCGTAGAGCATTAATAATAGAGCTTGACATTGACATTAGCTGATATTCAGCCCATTCTGCTCATCTCTGTCTTGCAAATCTTTTAATTCTTGGACTCTACTAGAGTAGCTTTGCATGATTCAAGGTTCAAAATAATCCTTATTTAGCTCTACTGAGCTTACTGCAGCCCTTCAGTTCATTCCCTGTCTGAAACCAGCTGTTTTAGCTCCTCCTCCTTTAAGGCCAACCTCCATGTCATACAGCTTGGCTGCTCCTCATAAACACAAGGTTTGAATAGCAGGGTCTTACACAAATGGCTTTTCTTATTATAACATTCATGTTAGCCTAATGACTAATCCTGAACACATCAGCATGTGTCAGCAGCTTATTTAAACCATATATTAACATTTACAGCCCACCGTGTGCCTGTAATTGGTAAATGTATTTTTCCAAGTAGAGGGGTGACGAGTTGCTCTATTTATTTAGAAGACACACTCGCTTTACTTGGAAAAACGCAGGAAAACAGATAAAGCCCAGATGTCTCAGTTTTACAGAAGCTTTCACTTGTGGATCTGTTGACAGCGTGAACTTTGTTTCAAAACCCCACATGGGGATGTGATGTGATTTGTGAATATCAGGCGATTCGTGCACACGTTGTTAAGGTTCTGTAAGTGAGCAAGAGGGATTTTACCTTTTTAGACATTTGTACGCACAGAAAACATTTTGAAAGAGAAAATTATCTGACTTGTGAAGATGAATTTATAAATTATAAATGATCAGCATTTATTCAGGTTTGGGTATATGCATTTGTAAAATAGTTTTACATGTGTTCATATTGCTTTATATTTTTGTGTGAATTGAAACACGCACTTATGAATCTTTGTGTACATTTGTGGATCATACCAAACGCATTTGTAACATTTTTGAGACAAATTTTTCTTCATATGAAACAACGATCAATGTGTCCACACCAAGATGATTACTATAAATAACTTCAATTAAAATTAAATGTATACAAATATTTACTGTACATGAATAAAAATGTGAAATTATCACCTGCAGATTTATCACCTGCTTCCATGTTTATCGTAGTACCTGTTCTGAACAGGTTTGTTTGAGGTAAACATCTCCCATAATGTTAATGATAAAAATTAAACTGAACTGAAAATATAATTTATTTTTTCCAACTAATGATAAAGGAAATTAATTTAAAAAATCAAAAAGTATAGCTGTATATGCGAAAGGTGGAGATCAGACTAGAAGTA